ATTGACGAACGCAGAGCTAAATTTCGACAAGACTTGATATCCGAATGCCGTCACTGCACAGTGAAGCAATATTCAGCGGCCCGGAGATACAGTCGCTGGAGAGCTCGTCTCCGTGGGAAAAGCGCAGAGTCGCGCAAGGATACCGGTAGACGCACAGATACATGTGCCAAGGAGATCGACGATAACGGACATAAGCATAGCAATGGCCATCGCAATGGCCATAGCAACGGTCACAGCAACGGTCATGAGAACAGCCATGGGAACCGCCAACGGCAATTCTCACCCAGCCGAGCGGATTCCTATGAAGTGGAAGATAGATATCGCCCACCAACGAGCCGGGGAGCTGGGAGGGACCCTTTGCATCTGTCAGCACACCAGCCTTGCGACCTGGATTCGGAAATTGCATCTGTGCGGAGCGGGAACTCGCAAGTGTCGCTGAGCGGGGGCCACAATATTGATACTGACGACGGTGTGCAAGACATCCAAGAAGTGTGGTTCCCAGGTGGCCATGCAGATATTGGAGGCGGGTGGGAACTTAGGCCTCAGGAAAGGTGGCCCCTTAGCCACGCTCCATTGGTGTGGATGGTGCAGGAGGCTCAAAAGGCTGGGCTGCAATTCGATGAGCGCAAACTACGGCAGTTTAAATGCAATAATCCATACCCAGGCGGCAAGCAGAGCGTACGGCTCGAAATGCCATCCGTTGTTATTACCGATGAACATGGAGCTTCTCCTGCTGATCCCGACCTTGAATGTCATCCAAGTGATAGCGATGATAATAGCAATCACGCCTTGGACATTGTTGGGTCCATGGTAGACGAAGAATTTCACACCGCTCTCCATTCTTCGAGCACACAAGGGCACCTTCACGACTGCCTCGAATTTGGTAGCGGGTTATCGGCGATATCAGTGATCATATGGAAGATCATGGAGTATCTCCCATTCCGCCGAATGGATCTGCAAGCTGACGGGAGTTGGAAGCCGATTCGCTGGCCTCTTCCGTGTGGCGAAGTACGGGATATCCCTGCGGATGCTCATATCCATGTAAGTGCAATCCGGCGTATGAGGGCGGACAAGAACTATCGACCGGGGAATTTGATTGTGGGAGGTGGTGGACGAGGAGTGAGGCGCGCGCCAGAACATTTGGGCATTGGGGAATGGGTGGTTGCAGCGAACGAGGGGGATGTAGTGCGAGAGACATACATGAGAAGGGCTCGCGGTGGTTGTTGCCCAACTAGCGTGAGTAAGTCCCGAGAGCGGGTGGCTCTTAGACCGGACAACAGCACTTAATCAGGTTTTTGATCCCCTGAAAAGTCCCTGCTTGTTTTGCGCTAAATGGGTCACATATTGGCCTCCTTATTGATCAGCCATGTGTTTGATTTGAATGTGAACTCCTTAGAGCTATAATGCCCTACTATAATAGCTCAACATTCTCTTGTTTCTTGATTAGCTGAACGTCTCCATATAATCCTTTGAAAATGAGACATTTCTATTTGTAAGTTAGTTTTCTACCTGTAGTTATCATCAGCGCTTTGCTCACCCTTCCACTCCGTTCCTTTTAGTCAAAGACCCAAACCCACAAACCCATTACAACCACTAGTTCAAGCCTCGATCCCCAGTCCATATTTTGTTATTCTAGCGGAAGGTCAAGTTCTCCATACCCGCCTTTTGCCTCGTACGTACCATGCGTTGCAGGTTTCTCGGTTGCGGGCTATCTTGCAACTGTGGTTGGCAGCCACGTGCGGCTATCACAGCTGCCAATCGGGAACAAGCAGGCGATCAAGGACTACTTGTACACATCCCCAGAAAGAATGGTTCTGATTCTCAATGCAAGGGGTATCACAAGGATCCATTCCACATGAATAAGGCTGTATCTAATCTTATAAACTAATATTGGATCTAGTTATTTCAGACATTGACGTCCATTTTTTTGTTGGTCCATTTTCCTTTTTTTTTTTTTTTTTTTTTTTTTTTTTTTTTTGTTTTGTTTAGAGAACTGTCAGGGAGAAAGGGTTCTTTATAGTTATATTCATTTATTTGCTCCTTTAGATATTTAAAACAATCTACACTCACAACAGATGTTATCAATAAGTCGCTCTTCCTGCATGCATGTCACCATACCCAAAAGCAAATCTGCTATCTCCAATGCCACTCTGTCCGTGGTCATAGTCCTGCCATGCCTCAGTTCTATAAGGATTGTCGGTTGAATATGGATTCCCATGGATCCCGTAGTAATAGGCTGAGTTGCTGTAGGGATACGGACTCGAATAGTTGTAACCCTGCATGTTGGCAGTGTTGCTGTTGTAACATCCACTGGTATCGTCTCTCTGTGCTGTAGGCTGGGGCTCGGTGACCTGATCGGTGGCCGAGTAGTTACTGACACCCCGGCCGAATACTTTAGTAGAGCGAGGAGGTTTCTCGGTTGAGGGTTGATCTGAAAGTGGGATCGTTCCATTTGCGCCGTCGTTGGCCTGGTTGAAATCAACAATAGCGGATCGTGGGTCAACCTTGTGACGACGGAAACGAAAGAGCGATCGGAGGCGAGAGCCACCGGACTGGGAAGTTTTGATCGTTTCACGGTGGTGCATATAGAGATGCTGAGCGATGATCGATACTAGGAACAGAAATCTTGTGGAAAGGAGTTAGCATTTTCAGTCAGCTGCCCAATGAGTAACTTCGAAAGGCACTCACATCCCGATAATGGATACTGCAAAAACCCCTTTCTGCAGTCTGCACGCAGATTTCAGACTGGGCATGTATATCAGCTGCTTTCCATCTCCCGTCCCAAACCCGCCAGATCCATAACCTCCGGCGGGCTGGTTTGCGTCGCCGTTTCCAATGGGAGTGTCAACATGTCCAGTGCAAGTTTGTGTACCATCCCGGGCCATAATTGCGATTGCGATAAAGCCGGCTGTGAAGGCAAAGTCTAGGACCATAGCCACGCCCGCAAAGAACGGAATGCCGCCAATGCTGAGGGTGAAGATGGAGGCTACAATGGCGTAGAAAGCGGCCACGCCAGATATGCCCTCGACAGCTTTCACCCATCTTTGGATTGCTAGGTTATGGTCCGCAAGCACGGCAAGAAAATAAGAAAATATTCCCAAAACAATGACCGAGACGCATAGCTGGAGGATACGGAGAATGAAGTTACTGATACGGATCGTACGGGCGGCGGTCATGACGAGCGGGCTGACAGGGTCAAGGACGCGTTTCAAACTGGTTTTGACTCGAAAAGCTCGGCGATAGATATAGAACCGTATGTTGATAGAGGAGACGATTGAAGAGCTGGAGTATTACACTGATAGCTAAGTTTTTCGCTCGGCTTCAAGCCTTCTTCGCATGTGCACAGCAAGCGCCACCCGCTCTCGCTCACCCATGGTTGTCTCTCCCAATCTATGATGTCAAAGTTGCCTGTCACTCCCAATTATGTCAGAAGACTGGTGGACGGTTCATTAGTCAGAAGCAACCAGAGTTCGATACCCGCCTCGAATATAGCGGAGAATCGGGGGTTCAAAGCGTGGTCGTCAATAGGCTTGTATAGCTGTTTAATGCAGGTCGAGAGCCCGGAGTGACCGGGGGAATGGCCGTCTTTGTGCAAAAGCCAAGTTATTCGCCAGGAACAACGGGTGGAAGCGGCCACACTTTCAACGAAGCTTGCCGAAGGCCCCCGTGGTCTCTGCTAACCTCACCCGGAAATAGGAACTACCGGATAAAGATGGTCGTAAACAGTTTCGCCTTTAACTGGCCCTGCGCTAAGATACGGAAGGGCACAGGAGGTATTGCCTACTATCTTCAATCCCTACAAGATGGCGCAGGCGATGGAGGACAGCATGATATCCGGATATTTCAAGTGCCTTTATCTCTGCTTTGGTAGTAATCCATTGCAGACATGTCAGCCCACGGTGTATATAGAGAGAGACCTTAATCATCCAGCTTCGGGGCCATATATTGACCGTAACAATAGGAAAAACTGGGGGGTAGCATCGAAAACCGGGGCTGGGGAGATCCAACTCACATTGCAATCTAATTTGCGCGCAGAAAAAATGTCCACACATAGGGGAACTTGTGTATGTACAAATTCTCGTCCGGCTTGACTTCAGTCCTCCAGCAGATCCGCGATATCTCTATCATCGTCATCCTCCCTGCGCCTCTCCGCCTCCTGCTCCAAAAACTCCAAGAACTTCCTCTGCTTCCTTCTGGCACTTTTGCCCCACTGAGGAACGGCACTGGACGCACCCTCATCGTCATCGTCATCCTCGCTCTCGTCCCCTCTTCCATCACGGAGATCATTTGCGGTTAACATGGCGCCTCCAGCTTGTTGGGCTTGGGCCTCTGCCTGAGCTTCTTCCGCTTTCTCTGATTTGGCGACACCCTTCTCGAATAACCTCCGGAACCCTTTATCGAGGTAGGGACGGAGGAACATATATCCGCCGATTATCCATACGAGGCGAATATAATCTCTCACGGTGAGATTGGAGACGGAGTTGGAGACATTGGTGGTAAAGTTCGTGTACCACGTGTGGAGGACGGCGAGAAGTGGGAAGTCGGACATCGCGCAAGAATCGGGAGGCGTACGGGTTCAGCGAAAGGCGAGTGGGCGGTGGGGGTTTACGGCGCGAAGGTACAGCAAACAGCGTGCAAGGACGAGGAAGAAGAGAGATGGCGGACGTGCTCTTTTCAGCCTTTGGTTGCCCTTATTTTCCGTTCTGTTTCTTTTTCCTTTTTGGCTTTTTTTCTTTGGTCTGTCCTTTTTGCTCGGAGCTCCGGCAAGACGGAAACGATGGAGCTTTGACGTCGTGGGCTAAACTCAACCTGGTTAGTTTGTTAGTGACTAAGCTTATGTAAAGTCTGCATATTGATCTAACTAACCGTAATTGGTTAGACATAATGTGGCTATCTTGGTCAGGTGACTGACGCGAAAACCGCGCTGACTAACGAGGTAAATGACCACAGCGCGTACGGAGTAACACAGGGAGCCATCCTTGGCTGTCAGGCCGGGTGAGGTCGGATAGGCTACGAAATGGCGGCTAGCGAGATGGAAGAACGACAGCTTGAAGAGCGTGTGAGTAACCAGGTCCACCTTTTCTCAGATATGTAACCTTTGTACTTTATGTTGACCTGGATCATATAACGTGTATCTAGCGACTGAAAGCCGAACTCTGGAAGGCTCTCCGCCGAATGGTGCGAGACCAGGTCGACGAGGAGGATGTCGACATCACGCCCTCATTCCTCATTGCAATGACTGAGATGGTGTGGGATCGCATAGGTGGGTAGCTGGTGCCTCGTCCTTTTTTGCTCTTGTCGGCTCCAAACTGATCGAGACACAGCTGATACAACAGACGATCTGATCATGTTTGCAAAGTATGTCCGATGCGTTTCCTTCGTGTCGACTCACCTCCAAGCTCACGGTGTTGGTTAACCCGTGTTGTTGTTCTCCCTTGCTAGGCATGGACGGCACGCGCAGATCCAGCCCTCGGACGTTTTGCTCCTTGGAAGGCGGAACGCGGGCCTTGAATCGGTTCTGACGTTGTACATGGATAATGACAGGCAGCATGGAGCATCGGAGGATCAGCAGCAGCAGCAGCAGCAGCAGAAAGCCAAGGGCACCTCAGAACGAAATTCGCAGCCGGGACGACGGAGAGACCGAGATGACACCGACCGTGACGACGATCTTGACCTTTCCGAACGCGAAGGGGATATCTGGGACCAATTCCCTGATTCCACCAAGGATACGCATGGCTAATGGGAATTGGCTAGCCAGTCAGCTTCGGCATCGATAAATTATTTTGATTGGGCCTGACAACCACAACTAGGAAGGTCACGAAGTCATCCTGGTTTTCATGTCAATTGGCGTCTCAAATTTCCAAGGAGGAGAAATCGATGAACCAAACCCAAGCAACAGTGGACCGTCGGCCGAAATGCTGTGTGGCACATGTACTTATGCAGCACGCCGTATGACTATCGGCGCTTCTGGAGTCGTTGTGAGACACGCGGCTCGAGGGCATTGAGACTATTGAAGCTATACGAAATAGCTATAGAGTGGAGCCCACTGAATGGACTACGCTCAGCGGGAATACGGTTGCTGAAGAAGCGCTATATCTGTACAGATTATGTACTGTAGTAGCATATATATCTCTCACAACATCGAGATTGGCGCCCATTTATTACAACAATACCGTTCAGACTTGCTCAGCCTTTTTATCTTGACCAGTCATCTGTCAAAAATCGTTTCCCGGACTAATTCAATGCATCCTCTTCAGCCCCTCGATCATGTCCTTTATTTCAATGACATTTACTCGCCCGCCACCGTCCATTCTAGCTAGAACGGCCTCTTGTATATCGGGCGGGAAGGTCAAAAATTGCTCAATTAGCTCCCCATCTACGAATCGAAACGGCTCTTCGGCCTGGCGGACGCTGCTTTTGAATGCACGGTATTTATTGAAGGGTATTTCCCCAGGACTCGCAACGAAGTCGGCAAGGGCTGACTGAAGGCGCATTAATGTATCTTGTGCAGACGGAGAAATAAGGCCGAAAAGGTATATGGAGCCGTCCACCTAAAGAAGTTGAGATTAGTCACGGCGGAAAAGTGCAATGATTGAAATGGGATGCTGAAGGAAGTATGCATACCGTTGCTAAAAAGGCTTTGGGAATCACGGGCGATTCGGGAGAAGTCTGGAGATCCATAGGGTGAATCCTATTGACCATCTCGCCCAGCCGAAGTTCACTGGTCACTTGCATCCGTCGTCTATCGTCCTCCGTGACGCCTGTTGTGTTCCTGTTCAACACGACCAAATTTCCCTCTGCATCGGCTACAAGAAATTCATTTTCCGCCACTGGCGCCGCCGCCGTGGTCCATAACGTTTGGTAGTGACGCGCAACTTCTTTAAGTGTGTCTGGTTGACCCCCTTCTCCTGCGTGGTATTCCACAAGAGAAATGCTTTTCATTAAATCCGCGACAGCGATTATATTACCGGTGACGGAGATATCCACAGGTGCCGTGGATGTTCGATAGCTAGCTTCTTTTTCGATTTCGAAATTATAAAGATTTCCTTTCTTGATATTTAACACCACAACCTACAATAAAGTCAGCTTAGATGTAGCGAGGATAGACTAGATGACACAACCGTTTTCATAAGTGCGGCAACAATCTTATTGTTGATCATGGCTAGCGCTCTACACGCGCCTCGGACAGGAAAGTCACATATCTTCCGCAGCTCGCGATTCGTGTCGACATCGAATATGAGTATTCTGCCCTTCGTACGGGCCTCGGCCTCTTCCGGTGTATCCAACACGGAAGTACCGACAATGAATATGTCCCTCGGACGACTGCTGCCCATCTGAGCGTTAGAGCCGGGATGCTCGGTTCGTATAACGCACTCAACGAGCTCATTTGGGTTCAAATCAAATACGCTTAACTGGCGGAACATTATTTCATCAGCAAGAATAAAATGGCTCTTCACTTCTTCCACATTCTGCACCAATGTTCTTTGGATGGTTCCGAGTCCAAAAGCCCGCTCAGTAGAGGAGTATGAAGTCCTTCGAACAGTTTCGTTGATCATTAGTGTCTGGATTTGCGTTGTGCGTTCGGCGTCCACGAGCGCAATTTTAAGCTCATCTGGAGTTGCAACAGCGATGGCTCCCGGGTATGCTTCCGCATTGAAGTGACAGATACGGGTTGCTTTATCTGAGTTAACGGCTGAATAAACTATCCTGTCTTCGGATGCGTATATCAGACTGGGATGATCGCAGGTCGCGAAAATATTGTAAAGTCCGTCTGCTCGGGGCAGCAACTTGAACACCGGCGCTTCCGATCCAAGTACAAGCTTGTTGGCATCGGACAGGGAATAGTTCGCTACGTTGAGGGAGAAGGAAAAGACACTGCCATCTGCCATAGCAACGAACAGTGTTGGGGCCCGATCAGAGAACATACAGGCGACTAGCACTGACCGCGGAACGGCATCTCCTGGCTCGCCAAGGGTTTCGGTATGTCGAATATTCAGGTCTGTGAGGTCGATAATGGTGACTTCGGCTGACTGTGGGAAACATAAAATACACGCCTGGATAGGCGATGATGTGAGCGCGACACCAGAGACCTGTTTGTCGGCTTCGAAAGTTTTGGTACTAGACATCTTTATATCATCGCCAATGTCAAAAACCATAAGCTTCTGCCCGCCTACCATCAATACCAAATGTCGATCGTTGGAGGAGGCGGCTGTTATTTTCCGACTCTCGACTGCAGACCATTCCCATAGTGTCATTCGGCTTTCAACATCTGTAACTCTTGCCCCGTGCTCTGTAACTTGCAAAATGCGGCGACTGGGGAGGTTGGCAGCATGAATGGTGGGTTCTCCTAATAACAGCCCGAGGAAGTCATCCTTCTCTTCCACTTCTCCGTCAGGAGAGAAATGAAAAACCCTCGATTCGTCCACAAAAGACAATAGTAGGGTATCGCAGAATCCCTCCGGACAGAATGCAGATACGCCCCATAAATCAGTGATATGCTCCATGGCTCCAAGGACACCCAGATCTTCCATTCCGACACCACTGCGAACGCTTCTTAAGCTTCCGTCGCGAAAAGCACCAGACCCAGTTACGATTCGGGCTTGCCCCGAAGAGAATTCGTGGGTAGGAGTTTCACCTCGATTACCCAGGTCCATTACAGTGAAATCAAGAATTGGGCCGATATTGGACAACGTCTGAATTATTTCAAACGAACCTTCCGTGATCCTGATTACATGGGAATCACCCTGATGCGAGCCTAGGAACACCACGCCACCACCGAGATGTACGAGAGCTGAGGCACGAGATGTTTCTCCTAGTAAACCAACCTTCCAACTCTGCACCGCGTTTGCAGAGTTAAGGATCAACATGAAGAAGAACAATCTGCCGTAATCATCAGCTAACAGCCATCTCTGATTATCCAGTTGCTCCCAGGCCACGAATATTGTATTATTCTCCAGTGGCCGCGTGATAGTTTCATTTTTGACAGTATCGATGTACTTGATAAATTTCTCCCCTAGGATAAGCACTCCACCTATACATCCTCGATTAATAGGACTCAAAAAAAAGAGAGGGAGAGAAAGAGGCCGCTACCATTGAGAATTCATTGGGGAAGTAACGTACCAAGAGGCAAGGGAACAGGGACCAGGATATCAGCCCCCAGCTCCAAGTCATCGTAGAGGTCATCTACATCTCTGAATTCCGCGGCGCTAGCTTCACCTCCAGGGATTCCTCGGGAGTATATGAGATCTCTCAGTTTGAGCTTCACCTTCCCTTGTGTGTTTTCGTACAGAATAGCTATTCGCGGGGGTTTGGTCGGGTCATGATGCAAAAACGCCGTTGATCGAACGATCAGCTCCTCAATTCTGGTCTGAAGTGGTTCCCCCAGGTACTCGCGCTGCTCGGATGTTCCTGAAGAACGACTCGCTGATGGAGATGGCCGCTTCAGGGGCTCTTGTGCGATTGGTATGACCGAGATTATGCCTTCGTAAATTTCCATGGTTAAGAACTTCCCGGACGGATCGACCCATGAGCGATCGCCACTCTGGTTATCGCGCAGCGAAGGGTCCGCTATATCTAGATATTTCTGCTCTGTATGGAGCTGACATGTTGATGGGTCCCATGATAACGTGAAGTATGCATAGCGATCCGTGCCAACGAAGAGCAGGTCCGTTGCGGAGGAATGTGATCGCGGGACCTTCTGTAGGACTGAGATTTTGCCGTATATGGCCTTTGCATGCTGTAGCGAGAGACCATCAGGGGTTGGTAAGTAGAATTCGAGGCGATTGGATTTTCTGTCGTTGGTAAAAGGTGTAATCAGTTATTGGCCGTCATTGACGTGTCCGAGCCAGCAGGTCGAGGGGGAGATGTCTGTGGGGTGGGGACGCACGCAACAACCAAACAATCCTCCCCGGGGTTCATAAACTGCAGCTTGATAGCATTGTCAACACTGCTGGCATGGTGGAGGGGTGTAATATATGCCATTGCGATGCGATCAGCAAGCAGAGGTTAGGGGTGTGGTGTCTGTGGATTGGCGGAGGCTGGAGCACAGCTTGGAGCCAAACCTTGGGACAAGAATAGTAGTAGGATCTGTCAGTTAATTCAGATTGAAAGCGTTTAACATTTCCCAGTCATATATGAGCCCCATGCCGATGGAAGAGAGTGTTGATTCACTGGGGTGCAGTGTGGATCGTGTGTTCCCATGTTTGTTGGTTAACTTGTTAGTGATTGAATGCCTTTTGGTGGTTTGAGAACAGTGGTGTGACGCAAGTGGGCGGCACTCTTTTTCAAGCATGCTCTCACTCGCGATAAACCTTTCTCGCGGCAAGCTCCAAAGAATGGCATCCCATCATCGCCGTCAATTCTCTGAGGGCATTCTCGATCTTTCCGGTCGACCCTTACCCATAGCCTCCCAGCATCAGCATCGCCATCAGTCATTCTTTGAGGGTATTATCAATTTCTCTGGTCCTAAGCCCCTTGGCTGCGGATTCAACGCGCTCACGCTCAATGCAGATTTTACAGCATTACTAACCACTATGGCAATACTAGCAGCTCAAGGGATGGATACAGTTACCCTTGACTTGTCCGCTATACCTATGATTTTTCGCGGTCTGGGTTATCAAAGGATACCTTTTTATGGAGTACACTGGAATTCGATGGAGAGCAGCTGAGTTGTATGTCGTTTAGGTACTCTGTACGGAGTAGTAGTGGCAGGATTCCCTCAACAGGATAGTTGGCTACAAAGTACTCTGTACGGAGTACTGTCTCCCACAATCTGTTGCCACCAATCCTTGGTGTTGGTCAATCAACACAGCAATCACTGGCGGATCCAATGACAAAAGAGGGCTATTTAAAAAGAGCAGAGTCGCAATGATACTCGCGGTCCATTCTCTAATTCTCCTCCTCGGCAATGCAACACATCATAACAAAATTTGAAGTTTGTCAGCGAAGGTCAGCATCGATGATCATGGCATGACATGTGTGTGTGTTTGGGTGGGGGAGAGATGGAAATAGGGCTATCAGCGTAACACACATATATAGAGCTCAACTACACACTGAGGCGATACTAGCCAGTCAGCCGAGTTCTTCGAAGTTGTTCGGAATGCATCAGGACAGGTCATGAAAAGTGGTGAATATGGAGCCGACTTGAGGATGAATGGTGAGCCAGCTTATGAAAATGCAACAGTAGCTGCCTCATGCCCACTTACCGTGGGGATAAATATAGCACAGTTCTAGCTAATCATAATGATGCTATAAAATCATAATATAACCGCTCTGATTGAAAGTGTTTCTATTGTCAGGTCGGTATGTTATGCTGCACATACCATCGTCTTTTCTCTGTATAGAGAAAATAATTCATTCTCTAATGTCATCAAGCCCAACTGAATGGCTGCTCCGATACTCCGTATACATTTTATAATATTGGTCTATTGGTACCACCACCAGATGGATATCTCAACGCGAGTGATCTTTCAAGTACTGATACACGACGGAAAAGTCCTTGCCTTTGTGGGCGGCTTCCGTGGAGTCATAGACCTCCTGGGCCTTGCTGGCCAGCTCCAGACGGGTTCCGGCCTCATTCGCGGCCTCGACAGCGAGTCTGAGATCCTTCTTCATCAAACTAACACCGAACCCGCCCGAATAACCGCGCGAGGCGGGTGCAGTCTCTACGACACCGGGAGCGGGATTGTTCACCTCGCTGGACCAGCTCCTACCGGTAGAGGAGTTGATCATCTGGCCCAGGACCTTGGGATCCAGACCCCACCTGACTCCCAGGTTCATAGCCTCTGCCGTAGCGATGTTGGTGATGGCGAGGAGGTAGTTATTCGCTAGTTTCCCAGAGAGACCGGCGCCTTGCTCCCCGAGATGCCATACCTTCTTTCCCATGAGGAGCAATACCTTCTCCGCCTCCTGCACCAGCCCGGGAATCTGCGACGAAGCGCCGACCATGAAGGTGAGGGTCCCGGCGGTAGCGCCAACCACACCCCCAGACATGGGAGCGTCGACAAACCGGCCGGAGCCTGTCGAATGAACGGCAGCCGCGACCTCTCGCGAGGAGATGGGATCGATGGTGGAGCAATCGATGAAGAGGCGTTCTGTCGCCAACTTGGGTAGACCGTCCTTGAGGATGGTGTGGAAAACCCCCTTGACGTGTTGCGGTTCGGGAAGGCTGGTTATGATGGTTTCCTGTCAGGCACGCAATCAGCCAGTGGACTCCTTTCAGCCTGGGTGGGAGAGAAGGGTGAGTTGGATCGCGGGGCGACTGACGGATCTCTCTGCAAGTTCTCGGGGACTTGAGGCGACCTCTATCCGTTTGCCGGACTGCTCGGCTGTGAATCTCTTTGTCGCATCGGGGTTGGAGTCGCATATGAGGAGGGTGTCCGACTCCGGGATTTTTGCCCGTAGATTTTTGGCCATGGGGTAACCTTGGATGCGGGCGGTGAGTTTTCCAGGGAGCTTGACGGGGAGGACGGCATTGACAACATACCCATCTGGCCTAGCCCGATGAAGCCCCAGGTGGCATCTCGGGATAGGGTTGTCGAGAAGGATCGGGCTGAAGAGCGAAGGGGAAAAAGTAGTCTCCGCACGGGGACCGCGAAGGGTGCGATGGCCATTGTATGAGTAGGAGTGGGCTGTAGGACTCAATGCCAGCGGGTTTCGGTGCTCTCGGAGACTCGGACAGTACAGTATATTGTATCTATCTGTTCATATATTCATATATATGATGACCGGAGTGCAGCTGTCTCTTCCTGGTCTCTTTGTATGTAGCTGCGGACAAACTCTCCCCTGGTTTGGTCAGTTTAAACGCACAGCTATTCCCGGCTATAGCCGAGGGGGGGCGGGGAAAGCGAAACATGGGGGAGCTTCGGCCACACGGCTCGCCGGACGAAATTTTCCGGGGGTGCGTGGGAGAAACAGTCGAGAGACGCGGGGAGAGTATAACTAAAGAGAAAAAGAAAACTCTGTGTGTGTGTGCGCGATAAAAGACAGGGGAGTGAAAGGGACAATGCACTCCGCACTGCATACATTTCATGAAACATCGCATCTGGCTGAAACTCACACGAGAGAGAGCTGACAGGGGGAAAAAAAAAGAAATGGTTTTCTCCAAATACTTCTGATCACGTGGGTGTTGGAGAGCTTCAATTGGAACAAGGTTCACTTCACTTCGCTTCGCTTCACTCTGATCTGATCTACGGAGTACAGTGAGCATGGATAAAAAGTACTCCGTATTCTGTACTCCGGACTCCGTACTCCAGGGTTGATCAAGGGCGATCAGCGAGTTAGTTACTTGGTTGTAGTTTACGGAGCACTATGTACTCCGTACAGCGTAGTGAGAGCACACCAAGCCAAACAACTCTTCTTGCATGTCTTCACTTGCAGGTGTCTTGCTTTAATTACCCTTGCTTGACTGATGCTCACCTGGAGCTTTTGACCGCGAGGTGGGTTTTGCGAACAAGTTTCACACCCTCTTGTTACCTCTCGTTGCCCGGACCTCTCCGTCCGCATCGCCCTGCTTCTCGACTCCGCTCCCTCCCTCGAACAGGGGTTGGCTACGGCACCCCCTCTCGCGTCCACTCCGACAAAAAGGTGTAATTTGACCCAAAAAAAAAAAAAAAAAAAAAAAAAAAAAAAAAATTCCATATTTTTCTTGATGATCACTTTGCAGAGTACTCCGTACTGGAGTAGTTGAAATAGTTAAATACTTTTGATGTCGCATATAAATTCGATTGTGGATGGTAAAACTAACTAGCTAACTAGTTAACTAACTTAGGGGCTGCTGCACTGGCACCCCGGCGGACTGTGTTAAAATTGCTGCCTGGATGGCTGCTCCCAAGCCTACTGGCCTCTGTGATTTTTATTTTTAGCTTTATTTTTTATTTTTCAGAATGATGGCGGATATGGTCATCTCTCAGAACCTGCCGCCTTTTTTCCATCGCTATCCAACTATTCGGGGATCGTAGATCGATCGCTCTCAGAATGGCGTTTTCAAACGAAGCCAAGCCGTCCTCCGACGAGCCCGAAGGGAGGCCACCGTTTGGCAATTTTTGGGTTCGTCGCTTGTCGTCGTGCCGAACACGTTGATCCTCAAGTCGACTGACTCTATTGCAACAGAGGATCTTGTCGTATGGCAGCCGACTCGACTTTGCCTTGATGGCGGTTGCCGCGCTGTGTGCCGCCGGAACTGGCGTGGTATGCCACCGCGCGCCTGCTTCGAGTCGAGCCGATATGATGGTTAACGATGTCGTCGGTGACTAGGCTCTTCCGCTGATGAATATCATTTTTGGTCAGTGCGGTTGAATGCTCTCCATGTTTCAGCGAACTGCCAGGCTGACAGCCGGTGCTCCAAAGGCAAACTCGCCGCGGACTTCACCGGTTTCTTTGTACCCGATTCTGGAACCACAGAGGACCAGTTCCGGAACAGCCTTAACCGCAATGTGTACGTCATCCCCGTCTTGTTACCTGATATTTGTGGAGGCCTTATCTGCAAGGAAGAGGGTCTGCCGGTACTCTGAATGTTTGTGCTGTTTTCGCGAGTGCTGTGATTAATTAGCCGCTTTAAGGTTGTATATTGTCTACCTCTTCATCGGGAAGTTTGTGCTCGGCTACATCTCCCTCGTTGGTCTCTCGATCGGCCCCGTGATGTTCTAATCCCCCCCCAAGTCCTGCTTGACTAATGGGCCAATAGTTTTGCATTCGCATGGCGGGACTCAGAATTTCTGCTAACTTGCGACTTGCATACATGTCTGCTTTGTTCAAACAGCGCGTCAGTTTTGTTGACAAACTTCCTGTTGGACGGCCAACCACCACCATCACAACGTCCGCAAACCTCATCCAAGCAGGCATCGGAGACAAGCTCTCGATACTGGTGCAATCACTGACCCTCGTTGTTGCCGCGTATGTCGTGGCTTTTCGTTATTCTTGGTCGCTGACCTTAGTCTCCAGCTCCGCCCTGGTATTCATAATGGTCGTCTTTAGTATCACGGTGCCTATCTTTCTTGGACTTCAGAAAAAAGTCGACTTTGCCGACGAGAAGGCATCGTCCGTCGCTGCAGAGGCCCTTGGCACCATGAGAACCATCGTCGCCTGCGGTGCCGAAGCCCGCCTGGGTGCGAGATATGCCGAGTGGATCGCCGAAGCCAGAAAAAGGGGATTGCGGATTCCTCCGGTCATGGGAGTTCACATCAGCCCTGCTAACTTCGCCATGTATTGCAATTTTGCATTGACTTTCTGGTTTGGAGTGAGACAATATTCGAGAGGCAACGTGGATGATATAGGTCAGGTCGTGATGTAAGTCCGAGATCATACCACAACGTACCGTCTTCGGCTTCGGCTTATAAAACCAAAAGAGTTATATTTTCTGTCCTTGTCGTCGTGTCCGCTATATCGATGATTGCTAGTCCGATGATCGCGATATCAAAAGCGATAAGTGCGTCCACTGCCTTTTTCGAAGTGCTTGATGCACCCAGTCCCAACACCTCAGGGCTGAAAGAACCGGAAATTTCCGCATCAAGGGATATTAAGTTTCACGAGGCGGTGTTCTCTTATCCAAGTAGACCCAATGTGAAGGTATTGAATAAATTATCACTGTGCCTTCCTGCCGGGAAAATCACGGCACTCGTTGGTGCTTCGGGATGTGGCAAAAGTACGATTGTTGCGCTTTTGGAACGTTGGTATCAATTGGACGATGATCTTGAGCCGTTCAAGAAGTCCTGTGATGAAGAAGATTCGGATCTCGAGGATAAAAAAGCCAATAGCGATGCAGTAACGCCAAACGGCGGCACAATTACCCTTGGCGACACGAATATTGTCGATGTGGACCTTAAATGGTGGAGATCCCGGATTGGTCTCGTTCAGCAGGAGCCATTCTGTTTCAACACTTCAATATACCAGAATGTTTCATATGGTCTTGTTGGATCCGCATGGGAGGGTGCGGATGAGACGACAAAACGACGCCTTGTAAAAGAGGCTTGCATAGAAGCTTTTGCGGATGAGTTCATCAACAAATTGCCAGAGGTCAGTGGAGCCCTCTACTGTGGTCTGAGCCTCTACTCTGACATGCTTAGGGCTACGACACACTTGTCGGTGAAAATGGAATGAAACTTAGTGGCGGGCAGCGCCAAAGACTCGCCATTGCGAGAAGCATCATCAAAAAGCCCTCTATCCTTATCCTCGACGAGGCAACGAGTTCCATCGATGTTCGAGGTGAACGTATCGTCCAAGAGGCTCTAGATCGTGTGTCCAAGAACCGAACAACTATCACAATCGCACATCGTCTATCAACCATCAAGAAGGCAGATAAAATTATTCTTCTCAAGGGTGGGCAGGCAATGGAGGAGGGAACGCACGAGGAACTCCTCGCACAAGAAGGGCTCTATCATGCTCTTGTTAAAAACCAGCAGCTTGAAATGGATGACAGTCCCAGCTCTCCCCTACCAGTTATAGAAGATGTTCTAGAGCAAAGTGTTTCCAAGACAAGGACATCCGAGAAGCAGACGGATGATTCTCACGGTTTGGAGGTGAGCGAAGAAGTTTATAAGCCGAGATCCCTTATTCGTTCCGTGGGCTTGTTTCTCTGGGAACAGAGAAGGCTGTGGTGGCTGTATGCATCCGTCATTATTGGAGCTGCTGGGTGTGGTGGTAAGCTTGGAAATCCCTACCCGCCTTAGAGCTGCAGTACGAGGCTGGCTGACGCGAAGATAACCGCATTCCAATATAGCTGCATTTTCGGTCCAGAGCTTCATCTTTGCGCATCTCGTGGAAACATTCCAGCTTACTGAAGCCGCTGCGCTGCAAGATCGAGCAAACTTCTGGGCGCTGATGTTTTTCATCCTTGCGATTGGAGTTTTTTTTTTCTACTTTTTGTTGGGATTCTCCTCTGCCTCGGTCTCCACGGTGGGTTATTTCTCGTGCTGTGTTAACTTCTCCAAATGTTTTCTAAGCGTTCGCTCCAGCACATCGCCACCACCTATCGCCAGGAATACTTTGAGAGTATTATTCGCAAGCCAATCCCGTTCTTCGATAAAGAAGAGAATTCAGCCGGGGCTTTGACAGGGCGATTGTCCTCGGATCCGTCGCAGCTCCAGGAGCTTCTAGGACCGTACATGGCCTTTCCGCTTATATCATTGTTTAATATTTTTGGATGCATTGCCATATCCTTCGCTTTTGGATGGAAACTGACTCTTGTGTCGGTGTTTTCTGCATTCCCACTGATAATCCTCGCTATGTTCGTCAGGGTTAGATATGAACTTCGGTTTGAGCGGCTGAACGCAGCAGTGTTCGCGGAGAGCTCCCAATTTGCGTCTGAGGCCATTGGTGCGTTTCGCACAGTCACATCACTTACACTCGAAGATTCCATCAATCAAAGATATGCCGCCCTTCTCCGCAGCCATGTCAGGGCTGCATTTTTGAAGGCGAGACATGGTTGTTTGGTATTTGCGGCCTCAGACAGCTTGGATCTGGGATGTATGGCATTATGTTTCTGGTAAGTCTAGGTTTTGGTCAGCTCAACCTCTCTTGCTGAGGCAGGATGTTTCAGGTACGGTGGCCAACTCGTGGCACGTGGTGAATACGATGTGGTGCAGTTCTTCGTGGTTTACATAGCCATTATTCTAGTATGTATCGTATCTACCTCCCTTGAGGCACCTCTAACAATGATAACAGGGTGGCCAAGCTTCCGGCCAATTTGGCAGCTTAACTCCAAGTATGTGTCCTGGACCATTTTTATTCTTATTTTTTTGGTTATGTTTTAAAGAAAAGGAAAATTCTGGATGTGTTAGACGACTGACATAGAGGTACAAAGATATGGCGCAAGCATCTGCGGCCGCCAATAGGATAATAAGCCTCAGGCCCTCGGAAAGCGAGGCCTCTTCGGCGCCTGATGCGCGTGTTGAATTTGAAGGGGGTGCCAGAATAGAGTTCAAATCTGTGAGCTTCAAGTACCCAACGCGAGATGTCCCTGTTTTCAGGAACTTAAACTTAACGGTAAATATCACATACCTCAAAACACGCTTTTGATGAAGTCGGATCTAATTGGCCTATAGGTTGAAAGAGGACAGTTTGCTGCGTTTGTTGGACCTTCTGGTATAGAATTGCATCCTACAGAGTGGCTGCCATTTATTCGTTAACATTATTTTAGGTTGCGGAAAGACATCTATCATCTCCATACTTGAAAGGTGAGTATTTATGCGAAATACTTTTAGTATTCGATCCCTAAGCACGTTGAACAGATTTTACGATTACCAAGCAGGCTCTATTTACATTAACGGAGTTGAGCTGCAGACTTTGGAGATGAAGAACTATCGTAGCGCTTTATCACTAGTTTCCCAAGAACCAATCATGTATCAAGGTGCTTTTGACGGCCCTACAGAGACTCTTAGTGTGCGGAAACTGACTTTATTTTCCTAGGTTCCATCCGAGATAATGTTCTCCTGGGAGTCGATCGGTCAACGGTAACCGACGAAGAACTATACCAGACATGTCGGGATGCGGAAATCCACGATTTCATCCAGTCCCTACCGGATGGTATGTGTTACAGCCTTATTCAACGACCACGGCTAAGTGAAAAGTATAGGGTATGCGACTGATGTCGGAAATCGTGGCCTTTCTCTTTCCGGGGGACAAAAGCAGCGCCTGTCTATTGCGCGGGCACTCATGCGCAAACCCCATGTTCTCCTTCTTGACGAAGCTACCTCCAGCCTTGACTCTGAATCCGAGAAACAAGTCCAGGCCGCGATCGAGCGGACGGCGAAGGGTAGAACTGTCATCGTTGTTGCCCACCGCCTGGCAACGGTCCAGAATGCCGATGTTATCTTTGTCTTTGGAGAGGCACGTGGAGATGGGGAGAAGGGAAACGAACGAAAGGGAACAGAGATTGTGGAATACGGCGACCACAGGTCCCTGATACGAAAGCGAGGCGTGTATTTTGAGATGGTGAGATCCATATCCTTTAAGCGCCCTTCGCATGTTCTCCGCATTGTTGCTAACCGATGCGTTTTCGGGGTAATTTAGTGCGAGTCCCAAGCTCTTGACCGCTAGGAGCTTGAGCTGGGAAAGATTGGGGATTAAAGTCCTGTCCTTTTAATATCTGAACATGTGTTACTAGTATGAGTATATAAATAAGCAATTCTACACTTTATATGGAGCAATGGGTACTGTCACCATTTGGTAGTTCATCTGTCTCTGTGGGGAGAGAGTACTGCCTTTGGTACATCGCCATCCTGCCGAGTAGGAGGTTTGAGCGGACATGGCCCTTGGATGGTATGAACCGCTGCGCTTTGTTTACAGGGAAAACGGTAACCATGTCCTCTAGGTCACCTAGGTTTTGCTTATGTTCTCAACCACTACGCCTACTGATTGAACACGCGCTATGAATGGGCGAAAACGCGCGATGACCTGATCACGTTGCTCATGCTGGCGGAGGTGGCGGTAGGCGACACTCCAAAAGCGATAGTCTAGAGCATCCGGAATGGGCGGAGATCAATGCCGTGCAGCATTATCTATATTATGTTTGATTCAACGACGTCACCGGCATTTGTAAGGCGTTATTAATGAGCGGTGAGGCTGCCCATCTAACACCGAAAGAGCGCCCAAGGCCGCAGGAGGCGATTGGGTACCCTAGAACCCCTGCTTGGGAATGATGGACAAGTGGGAAACCGGGCTCCGTGCAGTTGAGATGACCGGGGGGTGCAGGTGACGCAGCTCCGGCCAGTCACCCTCATCAAAGTCCCATGCTCAGCAACTTAGGATTCTTGTGTTAGGAGACTGATTGAACCAGGTCTGCAATCCAGGCTGATCTGGAGAAAGCAATCGTGGTAACAGATTCAGCAGTAGTTAACTAGTTAGTTAGCTGCCGCTCCACAAACGTAGCCGGGAGCAAGTTAAGTTGGTTAGTTACTTACTTAACAACTAGTTAATCGGGCTTTGGGGTAGCGTGCGTCGCAAGCCTCCCTAGAACTCAGTATCACAACACTCAGCACATAAAGGATTAAGCGCACTCCGTCCAATACTCTGTGAACTGGTCAGCCCTATCGCCGAGCGTCGCCGTGTTGATCCATGTAGAGAATTGGTTCAATCGCGGCTGCTATTGTGGCCTGGGGGCGACTTCTTGGGGGCTCCCGTTGTCTACTGTGTAGAGCATCTCGCCCATGTCGCTCCCAGGTGCCTGAGAGACAGCGATGAAGCGTATGTGCTCTCTCGATCTAAATGCTTTGGGGCCCATGAAGCTGCTGCGGCGTTGAAGGCATGCGGAGACGTTTCCGACGCTCTCTGCTACTGGAGTCCGGTCACGACTTGGCCTCAAGGCTGGATATGGCACTTGAACGTCGATTTTACCTCCCTGCAAGGCGAGCAATCCCAAGTGAGTGCAGGAATTCATGTCACTTCGAGACGCGATGTCCTTGAGCTTTACAGAGACTATACCGATAATGATGTTTCGCAGGAGTTATCAGTCCACAAGTTCTACGAAACTGAGAAACAAATGCCGAGTCTTTTACCCTCGATATTTGAAAGCTGGGAATTAAGGTGGCTCACCACTCAATGAGCCAAACCACTCAACAAGCCAAATTTTCGCACCATCAAATTTCTTCAACACTCAACTTCAATATGCAATAGCATGGTCAACAATGAAGCAATTAAGCTTGCAATTGAAGATCTTGAATTACAAGAGACTCCAAATTACAGTGTAACTGCAAAAAAAATATTCAGTCAGCTGAGAGACCCTGCATCAGCAGCATCAAGATCTACAAGTTGATTATCATAAAGCAACCTCCAGATATAAGAAGAAGCTCACCAATATATAGAAGAATGAGCTTCTAGAGTATATAAATAAGCTCTGCAACTGTGGTCTTGCTCCTACATCTCAAATTCTTTGAAATGTTGTGCAAGAGATAACAGAAGAGAGCATGGGAATTAACTAAATGACATAATTTTATAAGCACCACAAGAACAAGATCAAGTCTGTTTATCTCAAGTCACTTGACAAGAATAAACAGATAGCAGATAATTACCACTGCTTTCAGCACTTCTATAGTCTTATACTTGAATGCTTTTTTTACTTCTTTGCAAGTGCAGTTATTGAATTTGACTAACTTGTTGCACTGCTGTATTTAGTTAAGTAAGAAAATTAGCCAGTATAATATTACACCAGAAAACATATACAACTTTAACAAAAAAAAGAATTTCTTCTAGACTTCTGTCATGTCTTGAAGTATCTTGTCTCTATTAAAGCTCTACAAACTGGTAAAAGTATTGCAACTTAGAATAAAAGCTGAGAATTTCTCTCACTGCTCTGTTCAGTCTCTGCAGATGGAATTACATTGTCTCCAGCTCTTATTTATCAGAATGAATCCAGAGATCTTTAGAATATATAACTGAATGATTTTGACAGAAGTAAATATATCTACTTTACAGTCTTAGTAAATGGCTGGAGCAATGATGAATATAATCTGAAGTAGTTGCAATGAATTTTTAATCTGTACATAAGACAAAAGCAGATAGAACAAGATATCTGCTTCTACTAGATGGGCATTCTTTCTATATGAATATGAAATTTATTAAATATGCAAACTGTGAAAGAATTCTGCTGTTAATTCTTTCACTATACTCTATCCACTGTTTGCAGTCTCTTGATATTAGTGTTTTTGGGCTGCTGGGCAAGATATATTCTAGCAAGCTGGAATCTCTACTATATTGTGAACTAAGCTATATTTGAATGACAAAAAGAGATTTCTGGAGATTATTCAATGCAGTATGAAAGAAGGCTTTGACAGATGATAATATATGTGCTGGCTTTGCAAAGACTGGAATTTATTCTCTGAATCTCCAGTATTAACTAAGCTGATTTGAAACTGCTGATCAACAAGACTTTATATTATTAGTTAAGTCTTCCATCTCTACAAATATACAGAAGCTTTATCAAGAGATTAAGAGTATTTATCTTTGATACAACTTAAATTTGCAAAGTATTAAACAGATTATTAAAGCTAGCAAGCAATTTACAATATGAAATAAATTGCTAGAGCATGAAAATCAGACTCTAAAATTAACTATTGTGACAGAGAAACAGCACCACAAGCAAGACAAGTCTCTAGATCTACTTAATTATAATAAGCTGAGTCAGATCTAGTTCTGGAGTCCTACAAAAGTCCTGCAGACTCAGAAATATCAGAATGAAATAGAGGCTGAGAAAGCTTACAAAATTACTTAAATACAAGAGACAAAGCTTCAACAGAAGCTTTAAAGAGAACAGAAAGCTAGAGAGACTAAAGAAAAACAGATTGAACAAGAGACTATTTATATAAAGATTCACAAGCAATAAGAGATTGAAAAGCTTGAATATACTATATAATAAGAGGCTCAGTATATTGTCTGTAAGAAGAAAAAGACTTTACAACAAGCAGAGAAGAAGAGACAGACTGTTGAACATGCTAGTAAATACTGACAGTTAGAGCTTCAAGCACCAGCTTCAAAGTGCTGTTGGCACAGTCTCTCTATAAAAGAATCTCATCACAGCAAGCCTATATAATCTTTTCAAAGCAGTAGTAAGAGCTCTACAAGTCTCTCTAACAAGTCTTTAGACTCTCTAGCTGAGAAATCTACTGCTTACATTCCTTTACAATCTTTTCTATCCACCTCCCATATCTCTTGCTCTGGCTGCAATATCAGGCCATCCACACATTTATTTTCATAGCCACACTAATTTCTATGCTTCAAAGAACACACTCATTTAATATTTAATAGCTAGTTTAATAATAATAATTTGTTGTTGAGATAATTAATAAATTTGTAGTGTGGAGCATTGAAAGGAATTTGGCTCGAGTGGTTTGGCTTGTTGAGTGGTGAGCCACCTTAGTAGTTAACTAATTTCCCTTCAGCCGCTAACTGACCAAGAACCGCCGCGTAGCTGTGAAGGGCTGCCCGCTCCGGAGCCCATACTCATCCTATCATGGTCTTCAAGACCTTTTTGAACGAAGATGTGCTCGATGGTGCAGTGTCCTGAGCAGTCCACGGCCAACTCGGGCGCTTAACCAAAGTTTTGGAGATGAGATGATGAATCCATTGAGCAACAGACATCTAAAGCAATCAAACAGCACAAGAATAGCAAAGAAAAGACAGCATTCTCTATGACTTGATGCCTTACTTTTCATTCTGGAATTTGAACCATCAATGACTGTTTTGCTTGATGCAGTGAACCTGTTGCTTCTATTGAGAATTAACCACCAGTCACCAGCAGCTGTGTTCGGGCCCCTTTTTCCCTTTTTTTTTTTTTTTTTTTTTTTTTTTTTTTTTTTTTTTTGCCGGCTTTCAAATGGCAACCTGGTTGACAGCAAATAATGCGGCTGAAATTTTGACCATGGATGGCACTGAGGCAATCATATACATCCCTGGAGGTGCATAAATATATATTGTGGTCAATTGACTCACAGGATCTCGGTGCAAGCAAGGAGTCTCCAACAACACTCACATTTATTATAACCCGGGGGCTGGTTGTGAGGCATGTGAGGGGGTAGACTGTTCTGTTTTCCATCCTTTTTCTCTTTTTTCTCTTAAGAGGCTGCTGTCCTCTTTTGTGTCTCTTCCCTTTTCTCTCCTTTCCTTTTGAGAGACCTGCAATTGCGGCCTAAGCTTGGTCTCTGCTGTAACCACTACCCCATAGCTTATCCCTCGTCCCATCTCCAATCGCGTGGCGGCCATGAGCGTGATAATGGGCAAATGGTCGCCGCCCCGAGCCCTCAAAGGAACGATGTCGGACTAAACGTCATCGAGGGCGTTGATAGCAAACACGAGGTCGTCAACACTGAGCGCGCGGACTCGGTGAATAGGCTCCACAGGTCAACCTCCGCGGACGTCGCGAACATGCAGCGTATGGGCAAGGAGCAGAAGCTCGTGCGGCACTTCCAGGTGTTTTCGATGGCATCATTCGTGGCTGTCGCCACGCGGCGTGGGAGTCGGTGTTCAATGTGCGGTCGGCTCTGTATAACGGCGGCTGTCCCGTACTGGTCTATGGCATC